TATCTATCTATCTATCTATCTATCTATCTATCTATCTATCTATCTATCTATCTATCTATCTATCTATCTATCTATCTATCTATCTATCTATCTATCCATCTGCCCTTCTATCTGTCTCTCTCGCTCTCTCTGGGTATTTAGTTTCATCACTTTCACCTGTGTCCTGTTCATCTCTGTTGATTAGTCTCAATCTTCTCACCTGTTTGTCTTCACCTGTTCAGCTCAGTCTCTGTCTGTCCTGTCTGTTCTGTCCCTGATCCTACTGGACTGTGGTGGACTTTGTGCCTTCTTGGACATAAAGAACTGGACTAGAGACCTGTATCTGGATCCTGTCTGCACCAAGACTGTGACAAAAACAACTGCGAGGGGCAAGTACTAGTATTTTTATTTGTGTACTCCTTGAGTCAGTAAGTTTCCAGTAGGTCCCCCCAGTTGACCAGTACACAGCTAATAGTAGTGATTAGCTGTTGTGTGAGTACTCTACAGTACACGCTGGATCAGCACATTTTGGAGTTTGAGTACAAGCATCTGTAGTAAAGGAAAACCATCAATACAACATTTAATAAAAGGAGTGTGGTTAGAAAATATTAAAATGAATGACTAAAAGAATAAGTTTCTTATATTCGGAGAAGAAAGGCAGTTAGATGAAAAACAAAGAACAGCTCCCCACAGTGGTGACATAATGGTAGAGCAGTCTAATAAAACCTCAATACTTAGAACGTGTTTTGTCTTTCAGCTCTGCTCAGACATTAATAAATAAAATTCAAGAACCAAACGTAGTCATTTATTGATCAGGTTATAAATAAGTTTCCTTTCTAGGCTACAAATTTTATCTCGGCTATAAATATAAGTTGTTAAGTTCCACCGCTGGTTTTTTTTCCACTGGATTCTTTCAGTTGTTGTTTGTGTTTCGGAGGTGATTGCGTAAGCGACCCTGCGTACAGACATGTGTTCTGATGCTGTTAACCACATTTATGCAAGTGCTGCTCATCATAGCATGCTCATGTTTTCCTTTACAGTTTAAACACCTGATTATTGAATTAATGAAACAATAACTCTCATCTCAAGAATGAATCATAGTTTCATTGGCCTGTGCAATATTTAGTGTTTTTGGTAACGTACCAAAATTAGATTTACTTCATTTGTTCCTGATTACAGCTGGTCAAAAACATGTGATATCTTTCCTTTCCCTCTTTTCCTGGAGGGATTAGACTTTCAGTCTCAACAAACCAGAATAAAAATCACATTTGCACCCCGCAAATCGTCTTTTAACAACTGAGGACAATGCTAAATATTAGGTACGTCCGATATTATTGGCCGACCGATATTAGCAAAATGATGTAATATATGTAAGGATCGTTATCGGTTTTTAATGAAAACCTGATAACGCAATGCCTGGGTTTTTCAATGACGCATGCCCTAAAAATAGTTTTGGAGATAAACGGTTGTATAGTAAAGTGAAAGTCACTAGATGGCAGCATTGCAGCTAATTTTTATTAACCTAGTTTAATAATCAGGGTATTGTATGTGCCAGCAACACAATACAGTGCTTTCTACAGATAAACAAATAAATATTACCAGGCCTAAATCGGTATTGGTTATCGTAATCTGAAATTAAGTGGTTGGAAAATATTGGAATATCATATAAAAAGTAGGTAGGTACTTTTGAAAGTTTTTTTTGTTGTTGTTGTTAATAGCTTTCTGTAGCCATGCTAGCAGCAGGTTTTGCGTCAGTATTGTTGTTACTCGCGTTAACTCATTTGTCCTGTCAGTATGAGCTAATGCAGCTTTACAATTGACAAAACTCAGTATATATTTCATATTAGCAGCTGATGTGAGGCTGTAGCCTCTAAAGAACAAACAACCCGTATGCTAATAGTCCAGTATTTCTTACTAATTCTAATCCGTGAGTGAGTTAAATTGTACTTGTTGGACAGACGGGGACATGACGACACAAACCTGTGGACTCTGCAGCAGAGACGAGTATCTACCGTTAGTATTTGGGCACCTATGGTTATCAGGTCGTGCTTTCCCATTCGTTCCCAGAAAGAACACTGTTGTTCGCAGTTTAACATACACACATTATTACCACACACGGCGTCAGACGTTTGATGAGTGGATGCATCTTCTCCCTCCTGACCTCTCTGTCACAACTCTTTGCCACATGTTGAAAAAAAAAGTTTTGGGGTATTATTTAATCAGGAGGGCAGTTTGGAGTAGTTTTGATCTTCATCATGTGGTACTTGTGACAAATCATCAGTCATACTCCTGAAAGAAAGAAAGGAAACAGAAACCTGACCCTGTGATTCACTTTATAAGCAAAGAGGTGTCGAGGCGCGTGATAACGTCTCACTGCTACTGTAGTCCGCAGATTGTCTGCCCTTGTGGAGAATTAGTACAAATTTTCAGGAATTTCTAAAAATGATAGGTTATAAAAAGTCAGTCACTTTGTGATCATGCATTAAAACTGTTGCGACACGAGTAAAAGAACAACTGGGGGAAAACTGAAAAACAATTCCAAGGTTAAGGTTAAAGTTGAACTATATTGATCCCGCACTGGGGAAAGTTTTGCATTGCAGCAGTATGGGGGACAGAGACAGTCTGTACAAAGGGAAACAGGAATTCACAAATGTACACAAGAGTACAAAATACAAAACGTAAAGTGTAAGGTCACTAGACTCAATTTAATCCAAATATTGTATGTACTTCCAAATCCAAATGTTACCAAATACAACATACTCTTTGTTATTTATAGTTTTACCTATTATTCAAACGCAGTATTTCTGTTGTCTTTCCCAGTGACACATCAGCATGTAGACCAGCAGTATTTGAACCCCTGATCACAGTCACGCAATTGGAAGCAGTTTATAGGCATACAGCAAATTTAAAATGACACGGGAGACATTTTTAAAAATCATGGCTCATAGACAAGAGTAAGAGTGCTTCAGCGACCTGCCTGCAGTCCAGATTTATGGTATATTCATATAACCTAGCCAACATTGATACATCACAGGGACTCCAACTAAAATCCAGTGTTTAGTGTCATGGTTCCCAGGTGGTCGGAAATGGTAATAATGAACAAAGAAAAAGTAACTCTCAGATTTTCACTTCACTGATTATTTATTTTACTGATGAAATAATGAAAATAATTCCAAGTCTTGTTTTGTCTAAAAGAAAGAGAGATAGAGAGAGGGAGAGCGAGAGATGCTTTTTGTGCTGCTGCTTTCATCACCACTAGATGGTACTGTAGAGCGTTTTATTTCTTGATTTTAATTAAAAAAACAGCCAAAGGTCACTTCACAGAATAGTAGTCTTTTATTTAGATAAAAAAAATAAATATTCCAATACATATTTAAAAAAACACAAGGAATAAAAAAACAGTAGAAAAGCACAAAATATTGAAAAAAGGCTTTGTTTTGGTTAATATAAATAGGACAAATATATTTATGCAACGTCAATTATAAATAGTGAGTAATATTTTTGTTAGTAATTTGATTCAAAAACATGAAATCAATTCAAGTGCATATCCAGAAATGCAGACCATTTCTCCAGCTGAATCTAAAACAAATGGTAACCCTGGTAACCCTGGTAACCCTGCTGCCCAGTGTATTAATGTGTTCAGGAGGCCGGGTTTTGACCCAGGCCCTCCAGCCACTCCAACACAACGTTCAGCTCCCCCATGGCCTTCCGTGCTGCCGTGTCCACCTGCAGCTGAGGGTGAGAAGAGAAACATAACTTAAACGTATATCACTGACTGGTCTTTGTGTGGATGGGCTACAGTACTGTGTTTACTGACCGGGGGATCCTGTATGTTTTTGCATTAGGAATCGAACTTACATTTAAAATATTGCTAAAATATATTTGCCTAACCCAGTTTCCAATTTAAAAAAAACAACAAAAAACAATTGATCCTGTTGCTACTGTTAGAAATAAGCTCGCCAGCCCCCTCTGCTGGATAAAAATGATCATGTCCATAGAGAATTCTTACCTTTGTAAACTCGGCATGGATGGAATCAATTTTCCTGTGGGTTTCTTCTCCACAGTGGCAGTGCTGTGTAGAGACAGAAAAAAAATACTTAATTTAAAACATAAAAAAGTAGGAAAACACCGATTAGATTAAGGAGTACTTGGTTGTTTGCGGCTACTTTGAATTACGTCATTGATTTTACGAAAAATCAATGGTATTTCTGCTAAAACCTTTCCAGTTTACCAGCGTGTTGACTTACACATTTGTGTATGTCTCTTTTGATGGTGACGAACGCGTTGGCCAGAGCACTGGAGCAGCGCTGGTTTATTGGCTGTGGAGATGTGTAGCTGCTGAAAACTCTCTCGATGTAGAACCGCATCAGCAGGTGCATGAAGCAGCACATCTGCCCCTCCTGGTGAAGACGTGTAAATACATCAGTATAGGTTCTGGTCTCACAGGCTACTGAGCAGTGCAGTACATGTCTTATAACTGATACATTTGATAACAGAGAATGCAGAACTATTGTAAGGATGTTAGGAGGGGACATGACAAGACGAGGACTAACCTGGACATCTTTAATCAGTGATTTGTCCAGGATTTTCACTCCAATCTCGTTGTCTCCGGCGAGCTGCAATTTTAAAGGAAAAAAAAAGAGACTGTGTTTTATTTGAGTTCATCATCAGCACTCGCTCAGTGACACTGAGTGTTCCAACTCACCAGGTCTGATCGAATGTCAGAGTAGTATTTCTGCAGCTCCTGTGTGTGGACGTTGACAGAGCAGCTGGACAGAGGAATGGCTCTGCTCTTCACGTCCTTCAGGCAGCTGAGTACCAGCAGCAGAGCTAGAGAGCAGCACAGCAGCATCTTCATCACGACCTGGAAGAGCAACACAGTCATGTTATTGTGTTTGATTAAAGAAAAAAGGGGAGTTTAAATGAGCTCTGTTTGTATGAAGATTAGTTTTCTAAGGCTTAGTTTATGAGCTGTATTCCCAGTACGACTCAAATCAATGTTTTACCCAAAGAAATGAATGAATGAATCAATCAATGTGAAAAAAAAATAATAGTAAGAATCCAAGATTTACAATTATTAGTAATAGTGACTGTGACCTTTTTTTAAGTAAACTTTAAAATAAACTTTTCTCGGAAATTCCTTTTATACATTTATATAAAAAAAGTGACAAATCTACTACTAAAACTTTATATTTTATAACTAATCATCTGACTGATGTGTGGAGTATTTAAAAGAAAAAAAGAAAAAATATAAATCACTTCTAGTAAATAAAGACTACAGTTAATTAATTACAAATATTATTCATAATTTGATTTATATACTTATACTTATGTACCTTAAATACAAACAAAAATCCCCACACAGACTAAATTGTAAGTAAGTTATCTCCCACCACCACCACAGTCAGGTACGGTCTTCAAACACACCTGTGGACTCACCTGTGTCTGTGTTTGTGTGTTTGTTACCCAGAGGATGCGTCCTGAGAATCACCTGTCTCTCTGTGTCCATGATGTCTCCTTTTATGCAGCGGCGAGGGGGGAATTTCAGCAGGCACTGCACCCCGCCCTCACGCAGACATGTAATTGCCCAGGAACATGCTCACAAATTGTTTCACAGGTTGAGGAAGTTTTCTTGAAAATATGTCTCAACAAAGGAGGGGAGGAGGGGGGGGGAGGGGGGGGGGGGGGGGGGGGGGGGAGGAGGGGTTCCCCCTCCACCCAGAATGGGTTGTATAATTATTGGAATAAGCTACAACACACCTTTAATGTCACGATTATACTGTGTAATTAATGCGTCATTCATTCATTCATTCATTCATTCATCAGTGTCGTCATTTCTCTGACGTGAGGCTTTATTTATTTTCTTCCATCTAATATTCAATATAACTTCAATAGACTTTTTATATTTATATTTATATTTATATTTATATTTATATTTATATTTATATTTATATTTATATTGTGTTCCGAGTTGCTCCTGTTTTACCACCTAACTGGAAAGACGAGCTACTTTCCAGAGCGTTGTGAATCATTGTTATACCGCTGCTCTCCTTCAGTAGCGCTCTCCTTCACTCCTGACCGACGTGTCAATTTTGGAAACTCCTACCAGACCTGCTCACCTGCTTGTCTGGCCAAGATAACTTTTTGATGACTGCAGAAAATTCACTCAGAGTGGAAAGAATCATGTGAAGGAAATAGAAACAGGAACAACCTGCTGGAGCTAGCCTCAATAGCAGCATAACAGTGAGCAGGAAACGTGCAAAATTTCCAAAAATACCTTTGAAGTCGGTGTCCTGTTCCCTTCCCATATCAGGAATACTTGTTGCTCATTTTTAGCCAGAAGAGGTCATCACCCAATATTTTGAACCGGGGAAACTGGTTGATTTTGTTCCAAGGTGATCACTCTCACTTTTTTTTAATATATATGTGTGTGTATATATATATATATATATATATATATAGACATTGGCAAGAAATCCAATGAAAACATCATATAATTAGCCAATGCTCATGGGTTCAGTGTTCAACCCTGCCTATTTATTAGGTTTTGGGAGAATTCCAGCCGAGTTAGAATTTGATATCCCTGTGGAAAGACAAACCCCGAACCCACTGTCAGAGTTTGTTCAACAAAAAAGAATGATGTTGTTTTACTTTATCCATTTTGCCGGTTTCATTTTCTACCACATCCATCCTGTTCACTGTAACGACCAAAGCTGGATCGCATCCCAGCCGGACGTGATATAAATGTAGTCTGGACATCGTAGGACACGTCCAGAGGAGAACAGGCCAGGACCTGAACTAATGACCTTCTTGCTGTTGTGTGATGGCATCATCCAGTGCACTGATGTTAATAATAACTTAATTTAAAGTTTTAAAATTCCAAACAGAATTGAACTGATGTCGCCTCAGATAACTGTACTTCCCCTTGGAATTCCAACCATACAGCACTCGTAGAGTAAAACGGTGAAGAAGACGTCCATACGGGATCAAATGTTCAAAGAAAAGTTTTATTTTTTCCTTTATTGTACAAAGCGTCTAATGTATATGTATATGTAAATAATATACAGAAGACTAACAGTAAAATAATACGTTTTTTAATTTTATTTTTTTTACATGTAGCACCATGAAAATCACAGGCACAGTTGGGACAGCTTTGGCTACATGGTAGCAACGTTTTCACCCGGTTCTTCGGACTTCTTCACTGCAGGTCAGGTTGGTAGCTGTACTGGAATCACACACTCACGCGTACACACACTCGTGCACACACACACACACACACACACCAATGGACGTACTGTAACTACCGGCTGTACCTGTAGCATCCTGTCTTCCTGCAGCATCTGTCGTTGTGCCTGTATTTTCAGGATTTAAGGAGTTAGACCAGGCATGGGCAAACTAAGGCCCGGGGGCCAGATGCGGCCCGTTGAGCTTTTTTATCCGGCCCGCCAAACTTTTACGAATTAAATATTTTTTTATAGATTATCATTGTATGCATTTTCACTGCAATATCCACGTTTTGCCAATAGATGGCGTAGAAAATGATAAAAGCCTTTTAGCATTTCAGCCTTTATGCATGACTTTTACATGTCATTTATCTTAGTCCTCACGAATAATTGTGGCTGCCGGGTCACACAGTTTGCCCAGGCCTGATCTAGACGCACGAAATGATGGATTAACTACACCTCCTAAACTGGTCTCAACGTGGAAGGAGCTGAAACTATTAAAGCTTGAAAGTTTTGTCAATTATCTGAAGATAAATAAGATAAATCTCCACACCATGAGTGCACACAGGCCGTCTGATCCTCTGAGCGTTTTTCATTTTAGCCTGTGCACTCCACCTGCCTGTGTTTGCTCTAGCGTGTGTATTCGAGCACGTGTGTGTATTTGTGTGCATGTGCACAGGCCTTGACGCATGCTTCTCCTAAATGACGATAGAGTGGAGGTGTCTGAAGCACATGATGACATCCAGCGGGATGGGAGGGCTCAGGTGATTTCCGTCCAAACGCAGATACCTGAGGCAGAAGAACAGGAGCTGAACATGAGCAACAACTGCTGCTGTGAAAAGTCATTAGTTCCTCATTAGACGGCACTTCCTATTGTCTGTGTGTGTGTGTGTGTGATTGCCAAGTGACAAGTCGTGACGTACCTAAGTCTGGGCACCGTGCTTTGATCACTGTCATCAACGTGAAGGCTGTGAGGGCAGATTAGAGTTCCATTGATGGCTGCAGGAGAAATACAGCCTTGAATATCAGGTTCATTCAACATGTTTGATTTTTTTTTTTTTTTTTTTTTTTTGAGGATTTTTCTTTTCATTATGAGGATATAATAATAGTACTATATTACTCATTAAGTGATTTTTGTAAATATTTCAACTTTAAATACTTATAATAAAGAAGTCTTTTTCTAGTCTATAACCACTAGAGGGCCTCGGAGGTCAACGTCACAGTCATTGTTTTTGGTGCATTTTTTTCAGCAGCAACACTTTCACACAGCTTGGCCGTGTAACGTAGACGTGGATCCAGTACTTTTTACTTACTCTTCTGACTTTCCAAACAGATTGTTTATAAAATGTGTCTAATTAACCCCCCCTCCCATCTGGTACTTCTGGAACTTACTCTCAATGCTGTTGTGGTTGAGGTGCAGGTGCTCCAGGTGTCCATTGAAGAGGGGAACAGACGTGAGCTGGTTGTGGGCCAGTTGCAGGTCCAGCAGCGTGGAGAAGTTGAACACAGCTGCAGGAACACCTTTATCACTCAGCTGGTTGTAGTTCAGCCTGACGAACGCCAGGTGATTGAAGCCTTTGAAGTAGTTCCTGAACACGGCACAGAGAAAAGATTCACCCTGCTGCAGCCCAGATGAATACACACTTGACCTCTGACATCCGTCCAGTGTTTCTTACAGACCCGCCCGTTGTGTGTGTGCGACCGGCAGCGTCAGTGTGTACTGTAGCTAATGTGAGCTGTGTACTTGCTTTGGGATGTCGTCGATGCGGTTCTTGTCCAGGAACAGCTGTATGACACTGTCAGGTACGCCGTCGGGCATCTTCTTCAGCAGGTTGTGAGCCAGATTGAGCTGCACCAGACCCTTCAGATCCTTGAACGTGTTCTTTCCCAGGTCACTGTCACTCAGCTGTGGAGTGGGAAATTCTCATAGTCATAAGAGTCACACGTTTTCTCCTAAGACACGAGTCGATGTCACTGCCGTGATGTGGCTACAAAGTACAACGAGACTTTAAACTACCTGGTTGTAGTACAGGTCAAGGAGGGTCAGGTTACCCATCTTGTTAAAGGCACCTGCGGGGATCTTGGTAATCCGGTTCCTACTAAGACGGAGCTGTTCCAGGCCTGAGGGGAGACCTTGAGGAACCTCTTTTAGCTGGTTACGGTGCACGTAGAGATAGAGCAGAGCTGGGATCTTGCCAAATACCTGAATAAAAACAGAGATTACAATTTGTTAAAAATTTGAAGTCTATGTGCAATTAAGAAAAACCATAGCAACCAATACAGTAAACCACGCCCCATGTGGCATGGCAAGGTACTGCACAGTCAAGTTGTTTACACAGAAACATGCAGACGATGACAGGCACCTTACCATTAGCTTGTTGTGAGATGTTATACATTCATAAAGCTTCAAACAACTGACTGTGTATTCAATCAAAGGATTTAATGCTGCGGTTGGATACGATTGTATCTCAAAGGCATAACGTAATAACTGTCATTGTATGGAAATGATATAACTGTAATTGACCGTCGACTCTGGTCGGCTTGAGGAAGTTAGCATGAAGAAGATAACCTTTGTTTCTTTTTTGCAGGAGAATATAGTTCATCATAGAGAACGGTCAACAGTCAACATCGTCCTGGACATTTGGTCTGGACCGGAGCTCAAACTCAGCCTTCACACAACATAAAATGAACCGCGCTGAGAGGGTTTGGTTCTGTTGGACAACTAAAGGTTAGTGCAACCTGACATTACAAGTGGTTCATCTCTTCTCCAGACAGTGGGACTGAGTAATCATCGCTTTAGTGGCAAAGTGAGTCATGATTGGCTGTTCAGTACTGGGTAGAGCACAGTTGTTTTATTATGACTTGGTGTAGAATTTATGTTGGGCCGGAAAAAAAAAATCCCTCCAACAAATAAGAGCAGAATTACCTTAATAAAAAACAAGAATAAATTACCCCTGCATTTCTTTAAATTCCAGTGTTTGTTCTTTTGGATGTAAATCCTGGATGTTTTGATGAGAAAACGCTCTGACCTGTTTATCAATTCGATGAATGCGATTGTTCGCCAGGTTGACCCAGCGGACCTCGGTGGCGTTGACGAACGCTTCTGCTGTGACCTCAGAGATGTAGTTGTTCTGAAGGTACAAGTAGTGGGTCCTGGACGGGATGACAGGGATAACACGGATGTTTCGATTCTCACAGTTGAGAGAGTTTGGATAATCTGGGGTACATAAACATTCTCGGGGGCAGTCGCGGAAGACAGATTGTGGGCCAAAGATGACGGGGGGGAAGTCTGTGGGCTCCTGGGGCTCGGGCTGTGCTGGTCTAGCGGGCTGTGCTGGTCTAGCGGGCTGTGCTGGTCTAGCGGGCTTGACAACAGGAGGCCTTCGTGTGGTGGCCGGGCGCCTGGTGGGTTTCTTTGGCCGTAGTCTCTGTGTCAACACTGCCCCCATCAGGAGAAACAGAGCCAAAGCAAAGAAGAGTCCCACACTGGCCTTCATGGTCCTGGAACAGAAAATGGGACAGAGGATGTTATCTTTCAGGTTTTACTGTACGCACCGTCACGTGGCTCATGTCACAATAACACAGCATGTCATTTGGGTTTTGCTGGTTGACCAGTGTGGTCAGCTGATTATAACCGAGAAGAACGGCTGACAGCTTGAGTGCTCTGGATAAGTTTAATGTTTCTTGATCTGTGTGGGAGATCTGGAGCGGCCCCGACTCCACAGTCAAACAGACTCTCTTTAAAGGTTTAGTGAAGCTCAGCAGGGAATCTGAAAACTTCACAGCTGTTTGTATTTTGATACATTTGTTTTTGGAAAGGACTGAGAACTTTTTTTTTAAAATCTTTTTCAAAGAAAAATCTAAGTATAAATTGCTGACTCGTCCTGTTAATCCATCTGTTACTCTTAGTTCAGGTTCAAACTAGGGCCATAACCGACCGTCAACCAACAGGTTGGTACGACCAACATCAACTAATCTTTACCTCTACTTCAATTCTAATCTATAATAACTACCATTACTTCAGAGAATAATATTTTCAGGAGGAATCCCTGTTTGTAAGGCCAATGGTATAAAGAGCTGCTGAATGAGCATGACCTTTGATCCCTCCAGATGCATGACAGGGAAACCACCTGATGACCTACTTATGAAATTAGTTTTCAGGGATCAGTGTGAATGAACTGGAATATTTGAGAGCCCCACTCTTATACCTTTTCTTGATGCAGGAACTCTTGCTTTATGAAAACAACCCAGTGTTAAACTTGTCTTTCCCTTTAATTTTCAAAATGTACAAACTTTATTGATTCTAATAAATAAAGGATGAAATTAATTCCTTGAAAATATCAAACTGCCACATGTTATTGGTTAGTTTTTATACAGCTTTTTAAGTTGTTTGTTAGAATATTTCCGCTCATTAAAGATGTTGTGCAGTACAGAATAATAGTAGTCGATTAAATGGACTAATATTAGGGATTACATTAACAGTAGTCCTTCTGCTGACTGTTGCTAAAACATGTGTTTACTTGGTGAAGTTTCTCTCCCACCACTGTCGAAATAGTAAACACTCGTGTTGGGCTTTATCAATTAATGCTCATCATCCATCGATGTCATCTGTTCAGCGCTGACTATAATTATAGCAAAGACCGTTCATCTATTTCTATCAATAATTCATGATGGATATTTGGGTGGTGGTTTGGTAATAAGGGCAAGATGGTGTGCAGGGGAAAAAAGTCAGTGTGTTTTATGGAGTGTGAGGGGGAGTGGGAGGGGTTGCACTGAAAAAGGAAATTAGTATTTGTGAGGAAGAGGAAAGGAAACAACGTAGGATAAAGGCTCTTTGTCAACTGTTGGACGTCCAGAGGGACGGTTGTGGTGGAGAAAAATACTCAGTATATGGGAGGTAAGGGCACTTTGACCTGGGAGAGGTCCAGAGGAAACACAGTCCCTCGGAGACTCTGTTGGAACTTTATCTCTGAGCACACACACACACACACACACACACACACACCATATTTTTGGTCCCTTGTCATTAATTCAAATATTTGGTGTCTCTTTTTAGTGCGCTGCCAGTGTAATACAGAGTGCAGGACGTATAATCAGCGCGTGTAATTAGGGGACTTGTGAGGAGGCAGCGGTCAGATATTATTTTTCACCACATGCACATGCAGAGCTGCAGATGTCGGAGTTGAGTATGAGAGGAATTCAACAGGACATCTCAGGTTCTGTTCTGGCTGCGTTTCTTCAGACTCTCTGTGTGCACTTGTTTTTTTTTTTTTACTTGTTGGATCGATGTGGATTCTCAACAATACAGACAGTTGTTCTTATGAGTCAGTCAGCAGCTGAACTTATTCAGACCAACGACTGCCACTGTTTAGGCTTGATATGATAAAATAAAGCGTGGTTAAAATTAGGGATGTCGGATATTATCGGCCAACTGATATCATTAGCATATCATGTATTATCTGCAAGAATCGTTATCAGTTTTAGTGGGTTTAGTCAAATGGTGTGTGATCTAAAAATAGTTTTGGTAGGATAAACGGCTGTATATTAAAGCGACGGTCACTAGATGGCAGCATTGCAGCTAATTTAACTAATCGCATACTAATACAGTGGTTTGTACAGATGAGTAAATAAATATTACCAGGCCTATAACGGAATTGGAAATTAGGTGTTTGGATTTTGTACAGATGAGTAAATAAATATTACTATAACGCCTATAACGCTATCGGTTGGTATCGGAATCGGAAATTAAGTGTTTGGACAATATCGGCATAATGGATATCGACAAAAAGTTAAAAATCGGACATCCCTAGTTAAGATATTTGTCATGCAGTCGTTGGAGGTGTAGAGCTCTGCTCTTGAGTCATGCAGTCGTTGGAGGTGTAGAGCTAATTAAAATTGAAAACTATTTTAATATGTTCAATCTATATATATATATATATTGCAATAATTCATATAAACAAGTCGTGGAAGAGTGATGTCTTTGCATTAATAGCACCATCTGCAGGGGAGTCAGAGGAGCTGCATGCTGTGTTTATGCTAAAATACAACACCAAAATCCTTGTCAGAATGATGTGGAGTGTTTCTTTAAAACATCCACAGACAGCTGTTTAACAACACAGACCGCTGGTCGCGCTAGTTTCTAATGAATCTGCGACCTTTACGAAAACCTCTTGCCATT